GACCATGTGGTTGAATAGTTCGAAGACGATTCATCCACACTTTCTCTCTGCTGAGGCGAACTGAGTCCTTGCGATGGCCAAGAGATTCAATGCCCTGCAAAATCATATCAGAAATGGAGTGGTTAGGCAGGTTGAAGTGATGACCAACAGGGGTGTCTAGTTTCTTGGTGTTGACCGTTGACCGGTGGGCATAGAAATGCTTCTTGAGCGTATTCTTAGTCTCACCTACATACTGCACTCCACAGACCCTGCAAGAAATGATATATATGACATTAGAGGTGTTACAAGTGATGTTACCAATGGTTCTGTGGGTAGTGACAGAAGAGTGGCCAGAAAAGGAGTCAGACTCCTGGATATGAATCTGGTAGACAACACATCTGGAACTGCACTTGAAAGTACCATGCTGGGTGGGAGGGGATGCATCTAAGGATGGGACTTCAGCTCGAACAATCAAGTCCCGTAGATTTCGAGGACGCCTGTAAGCCAATGTGGGGCCGTTGGGGATGGCGCGGGCAAGGCGATCTGAAGTATGGAGGATATGGTGATTGTCATTAGTGATTTTGCGAAGGGGAGGGAGATTGGGGTGAAACGTGGTAACCAAGGGAATCATGGGTTTGGCCATGGCATCAGGGGCCTTTCCCGTGAGAGCTAGATTTCTGGGGATAGCTTTAGCTCTGGCAATGGCACGATGAACTTGGCGAGAGCTGTGACCCCTGGCCACCAAGTTGTTCCTCAGTATCTGTGTATGGCGGGAGAAATCGGAATCATTAGAACAAATTCTTCTGAGTCTGAGTGCCTGGCTAAACGCTATGCCAGTTTTGCAGTGCCTGGGGTGACAGCTGGAGGAGTGGAGGTACTGGTGGGTGTCTGTGGGTTTGGAATACAGGTCAGTGGTTAGTGAGTTGCCTTGCTTGCGGACGGTGACATCCAGAAAGTGGGTTTGGTGAGCCGAGAACTCCGATGTGAATTTGATGGTTCTGTGGAAGGAATTGATGTGGTTAGTGAAGGTCAAGAGACTGTCCTTATCACTGGTCCAGATGAAAAAACGTCATCAATATATCTCCACCAGATCCAAGGGCGACATGGGGCCGAGGCAAGAATGCGTTCTTCGAGGTCACCCATGAAGAGGCAAGCCATCGACGGAGCCATGCGAGTGCCCATTGCAGTGCCGTGTACCTGTAGATAGTGTTCACCAAGGAAGGAAAAATTGTTCTTCGTTAGTATAAGTCTCATGAGGGTGCCAACATCACTGATGGGAGGAGTCGTGTGTCCTGCCTTGGCCAGAGCCAAGGAGCAAGCACGAACACCCTCCTCATGTGGGATGTTGGTGTACAGAGATGAGACGTCGAAAGTCCCAATGATGGCTGTGCTGGGAATCTGGTCCTTGATTCCTTCAAGCTTGCGTAGGAAGTCTGGGGTGTCGTGAATGTATGACGAAATCTGTGGGACAAGGGGTTTGAGAAAACTGTCAATGAACAGTTGTCCAAGAAAGCTCACAAATTTCTTTCTCCCTGTGATTGTAGGACTGCCAGATTTTACCTTCTACCCAAGATTCACAAGGCTGGCAACCCCGGTAGACCCATCATCTCCGGTAATGGCTCACCCACGGAACGCATCTCCCTGTTCATTGCCCGCGCCATCCCCAACGGCCCCACATTGGCTTACAGGCGTCCTCGAAATCTACGGGACTTGATTGTTCTAGCTGAAGTCCCATCCTTAGATGCATCCCCTCCCACCCAGCATGGTACTTTCAAGTGCAGTTCCAGATGTGTTGTCTGCCAGATTCATATCCAGGAGTCTGACTCCTTTTCTGGCCACTCTTCTGTCACTACCCACAGAACCATTGGTAACATCACTTGTAACACCTCTAATGTCATATATATCATTTCTTGCAGGGTCTGTGGAGTGCAGTATGTAGGTGAGACTAAGAATACGCTCAAGAAGCGTTTCTATGCCCACCGGTCAACGGTCAACACCAAGGAACTAGACACCCCTGTTGGTCATCACTTCAACCTGCCTAACCACTCCATTTCTGATATGATTTTGCAGGGCATTGAATCTCTTGGCCATCGCAAGGACTCAGTTCGCCTCAGCAGAGAGAAAGTGTGGATGAATCGTCTTCGAACTATTCAACCACATGGTCTCAACATCCAACTTGGAAATGATTAATCCTTTTTTCCCTCCATTGTCTTCTGTTACAGATAATCCATCTGGTCTTCCTTGTTTGTGTTTACCCATCTTCCCCCATCTTTCATCCCTTTCCACCTCCATACTGTTCCCCCCCCCCCCCCACATCATCCCTTCACTCTCACACTCTTTTGTCCGTTCCCACTCCCTGTGACCTTTGATCCTTCCCCTTTCTGGTCCCTCCCCTGTTCACACCAGACCCCTTGTGGTTTGCCATCTCCCTTTGTTTCTTTGTTCTCTCATCCACCCTCCCCTGCATCTTTCTACACCTTTCCCACTTAATCCTCCTTTTGTGTTTCTTCTTTCAGCCCTGCATGTTTGTGTGCACCCCCATGTTAATGTATGTACCTCTGTCATTTCTGTTTTAGCCTCTGAAGAAGAACTTGCTAAGTTCGCAACGTCAGGCCACATTAATTTTAAGATTTGTTTTTTAATATGTGTAATTTGTCGTGCTCCTTGACGTCTGATCCCTAAGGAAGGATTTTGAACTAAGACTGGTGGAGTCCTCTTTGCCTCCGGATGTCTTTGTTCCCAGCATCAAATAATTCTCGTCCCTTCCAGCCAGACATTTTGGTGCTGATCATGACTTTGACGTCTGATCCCTAAGGAAGGATTTATAGTTAAGACTGTCGGAGTCCTCTGTGCCTTTCTTCGGGGGGGGGGGGGGGGGGGGGGGGGGGGGGGGCTTTTGAAATTCAGTACATTGACTACTTGTGGGGTATTTATTAACTTTGGAAGTCCCCCTCCCCCCATGGAAACTGATTATTTAACCCAGTGAAATTGAACGGACAATAAAAAATTATGACGAAACAGTTTTTGAAAGATAAAATAAATTCAGGTGTGCCCATACATTAATTACATACATTATTTGTCAACGCGTGCAGCCGTGCAAGCTGCGATGGCCTTACGGTTAAGCCTCTTGTCTGCCATGGAAAGTCCGGATGAGTTCGAAGCCCGGTTGGGTGGTGACGGTTGGTTTTCTTTTTTAATATTTTTTTTTATGTAGTGGGATTTTCTTTCCAATCACAAAATACATTTTTTTTGCTTGACTGGTTTGCCCATGGTATTTTCTTTCTTTGTTTAACTCATGAATATAAATCAAAAACCTTATATAAAATCACACGATGACGTCATCATGATGAGATTTGGCAATGAATGTTAACATGTAAAATGTGGTCATGTTTTGGTTCAAGTTTGGGCTTGATCAGAACAAAAAAAAGTGTTATTTGCAAAAAGTAAGAAAAAATTCAAAAATTGGTTAAAAATCAGCCCATGACGTCATTATGACGTAATCTCAGATTTTGCATGACAATATCAACATCTTACTGTCTGCCAAGTTTCATGACGATCCAACCTTGGCTTATATGTGTTTTGAAAAATGGTATTTTTGATGTCACCATGACATCCCACATTTATCATTTTTTGTGCAAGTAGGTATGACCCATAAAACCTAATTCCAAAAGAATTGTGATTTTAGCGTGTTGCGTTTGTGAGATATGGAAGTGCACCTCAAAACTGAAAAAATCCCTATAAAATCGTGTGATGTTTTTTTATGCGTCATCATAACGTCCCCTCACATTTCACATTTAACGCATCCCGGCTTAGGTATATGAAAAGATTCAACCCCATCTGACAAGTACTTGAGGAGATATTGTCCTGCAAAGAATGCAACTTTGCCATCGTGTCAGGTGACCAGCGATGATGCAATCGTGACGTCATGCTTTGCAGCACGAATTAACATGGTGGTCTAAGAGTATGCCAAGTTAGAAGTGGATCGTTTTTTTTTTAAAGTGGCAAAGTTGGCGTGTACAAAAATCAGTTTTTTAAAAAACACTGAAGTAACGGGTATTGTGTAGTTCAGCTTTTTGGTGTAAATTGTGGTCACGATATCATTTGGGGAGTGCGGTTATTCCAAAATGCATTTGTGGACCTAAAGTAGTCTTTCTGAATCCTAATGACACCCGCTTTTGTATTTTGAAAAAGTTTTTCAAGGTGCAAAATGCGATTTTCTTCATCTAGTTACTTGTTAGTATAGTCAAAATTCACCTCACCCCCATTTCGGTACCAGGGTTGACTTGCATTTAGGAGTATTGCGCAAATGCGTATTTTTCGCCCTTCAAACGTTAGATTTCCAGCGGCAAAACCATGCAGACTTACTACGACTGGCTATTTGTTCCGAATGAGGCACAATAAACAACTTACAAGGAAATTGTGTTTAGGAATGATGAAAAGTGTCCTGAACTTCACAATGCCTTGAGCAAAACAAAAAACCAAGGCTTTTTCGCAGTGGTCAGAAGTGGTCAGAAAATGACTCAGATCGCACCACAGAGCATTTAGAATCCCCTCACTGTAATTTTTTACCCACTTTTTGGGGGACCAAATTTTTTGGGGGGGCCCTCACCCAAATTGTGTTCTAGATTCGGCTTGTTGCCGAAACAGCAGAGCATGGGAACATAAACTTTAAATGCACTCCTCCCTTTTTCCTGCAACAGTGCATCACTTACATCTTACGCTTATCTTTTTCAATCTCACATCCATGTCACATCCAAGTGCATAGGCATACATACATCAGCATGTGACTCACTACTCAGACTCGGACTTGAATCAAATGATCCATGAGTTGGACTCGACTCAAGTGACTAGAGACTCTGTGACTCAACCCGAGTTACTCGAGACTCGGACTCAACCCAATTTTCTCGAGACTTGGACGTAGAATTGCCTCAAGTGACTCGACAACAACACTGCCGCACTGTACATCCATGTGGCAAAGTAGTTTTACTGTGTCACTCCTTTATATTTTCCATGCATAACAGAGGACATAAATGGGCCGTCTTTCCAGTTAGTATCGCTTGATGAACAAGGTGTGATTAACTTTTGGGTAAGATTGTCATCACTCTTTCAATTCTTTGCATTGAATATCAACTTCTAAAGCTGTGTTCACATTGGACTTTCTAAATCTAAAGAAGGGTGCTGTACAACTGACCTGATGAAGCTTCAGCTCAGCTTCAGCTGTATATTTCAAGAAAACAACATTCTAGGATCTTGATTTCAAATCAAAAGTTGCTGTATCATGTTTTGAATTGGGCCTGAATTCAGTATCCGAGACACATTCTCACTGAGCCAATTGCAGCTACGCGATGTCGCGCACTGATCCGACGAATTATAGTATTGCGCGCGCTTTGCCGAATAAAAACTTTGCCGAAAAAAAAACAACGGAAATTTCCAACGATGCGTCTTAAGACACATCGTTGGAAAGGCATTCTTTTGTGGATTTCTTCAAAACGACAGCATACCAGAAAGAATAATTTCACTGGGAGTTTAGTTCCCTTACTACCTTTCAACCAAGTATGTTTTTCAACAGTAATTACGTCAGTTACTTTTTGGATAGCTGCAAATGATGGACTTTAGCTTTAAAGCTCAATGCACACACTTGTATCTTGCTCTATCGACGTACAGATGTGAAAGTATTATTGTTTAAACCTGTTACAAGAATTTGAACAGCAACTTCAGAGATTTGAATTTTGGGGGTTAGTATTCTTTAACAGGTACCCGGGTACACATTTTTTTTCAGTCAGGTACCTGGTTCCGGTACTACCCGTAAATGCACACCCCTAACTGTGGCTAAAGTAACCAAGCTGGGCATCAGCATGTGTCCATGAGATCAGCTGTCGTACACTTGTATATCCTAGATCATCGTAAAGTATGACTTATTATGGATCATTGTTTGCAGTTCACAGTGCTGTCAAGTAAGGACACTTTTACAAGTACTTTTAAAAGGCAGCTCCAGCGCCAGCCATTTTAAGCAATATAAAGAAATTATGCAGGCCAATGAACATGGCAGTCTGAATGAGAAGTCTGATTTGAAGGTATTGAGTTCAATGATGGTGCATGTCAAAGACTGTACCAGCATCCAGCTGTATTGTGTCCTGCTGGGTTGATTGTGTGTGAGTGGTCACCATGAATCATCCGCATGCTTTTGTAGGACAGCACCAATACTTACATCAGCAAGGGCGGATCCAGAACACAATTTGGGGGGGGGGCCAAAAAAAATTTGGGTCCCCCCAAAAAGTGGGTCAAAAAAATTACGGTGTGGGGTTCGGGGCCCGCTTAAGGGCCCCGACAATTTTTTGGATTCTAGATGCTCTGTGATGCGATCTGAGGCAATTTCTGACCACTTTAACCAATGTTTTTTTGAGGAAAAGATGGTGGTGTACTCATTGCCTGCCTTTATTGCGATGTCACATAAAAAAAAAAATTGGTTTCGTTTTGGGGGGGGGGCCATGGCCCCCTTTGGGCCCCCCCCCCTGGATCCGCCCTTGTACATCAGAAAAATCAGTTATGACATAAATTGGTGCATTCAGTTTGGACTGGGAAAGTACTTTGGCAGTCTACTTCACTCTACTTACCTGTAGAGCAACACTACTTATGCATATTCCCCCTACCGGCAGGTATTTTCGCTAAGAGTTATATACAATAGCGCCCTCCGGCGCCCTACCCATAACACCCCGCGGCATGCGTGCCTCGTGAGCGTCCTCTTTTCTCTTAGCGGCAGGTCGGGTAGGACGTGCGTGAAATAGCTCGCTGTTTGCCTCGTCATTTACTACCCTTTTTTGCGTTTAAGAGAAGTATTTAATAAAGAAAAGATTTAGTATTCATTAGTTTGTAGAGTTTTCATCATCTTCTTGGTTTCGTTTATTTCATAATTATGAAGCGTTTGGGGAGGGCCGATCTGTCACTAACCGGGGGGAATTCCTCTCCCACGGGACGGACCGAGTCCTCGGGGGACTCTGCCGTTAACGCTACGTCGTTACCGCGGCAGCAGTCTCTCGTCCGACACCCTCAGCCACAGTCGGCTGGGGGAGTTGGCAGTTCCGCCGATCAGTTAAGGGGGCCTCGGTCACCTTCTCCGGTCAACTCAGGCGAAACACCCAAACTAAGGGCACACTCCGGCAAGGTTCCTCCAAAACATATCTCCTGTGCCGGAGCAAAGCCTAAGAAGGGCCGTCAGGGCAAGCGTGGCTCGGCAACGAGCGCCGCTGTGGCACCTGGCCCTCCCCCGATCACGGGGCAGCCCGAGGGGGCTAGCCGTCACACTTCGGTGGGCGCTAGTCACCCGTGTCCTCCCGACACAGTGCCGAACACCACTGGTTGTCGGGATGGGCTATTGCGCGGGCTACCGGCCCGTTCAGTGCTCGCTCAGCCCACGGGGCCTGAGGCGCTGTCGGCCGGGTGCATTATGAGCGATACGGAGCCGATTGCCCGGGGGGATCCCGGGCCGACGGCCCCCGTGCCATCTCGCTCAGAGGGACTACCCTCATCATCGGAATTTTTCCGTTGTTCGGGGGTCCCGGTGTCCCAGGTGTCTTCCGATTTTTCTTCGGACACACCTCGGGGCCGTTCTTCTAAGAAGAAGAAGAGTAAGAAGAAGGCTACACGTCGATCACGCCGTTCTTCTTCGGAGTCGGACGACTCCTCTGACCGGTCCCGCCGGGGCAAACGCTCCCGGGGGGAGGACGCGGTTTCCAGAGCAGATTTCCTGCAGGCTTTCCAGTCGATTTCTGATACTCTATCGGCTATGTCTGCAGGCCGCCGGGCGGGCCCCATTGGGGGGCCCCCTGCAGCGGTGGACTACGGCCCACAGCCATCGGTTGTTGGGCCCGCATCGCAGTCTTCAGTCACCGGTCACGCTTGGGTGGCCCGGGAACAAAGGGACATACCGCACACAATTAGTCGTGCTCCCGCGTCCCCGCCTGGGGTGAGAACTTCACAATCGTCGTTCGTTGGCCACGGTTGGGTGGCCCAGGCACAACGGGATATACCACACGTGGTTGACCGTACACCGGAGGCCCGGCCTGCAGCGAGTGTCTCGCATGCATCGGCCGTGAGCCACGGTTGGGTGGATTAGAGGCCGCGGGACCTACCGCGTACGCTGGGATCCCCGCCTGTATTGAGCATTCATTCATCCATGCAGTATGGCTCTGAGGAAGTTGTCCAGCCGCTAGCGCGTGGCTCGGTACAACTCGCCCCTCCAGACGACGTTCGTTCACCGGAGTCAACTCGGCCCTCACAATCGGCTGAGTCATCCGATGACGACGAGGAACCAGACCGATTACAACGGCTGTCTATCTCTGAAACGGAGCTCCGTTTAGTACAGAGGGATATGATACGAGTACTTCATCAACCCTCCGCTGATGAGCCCCCTCCGCCCGATCATAAATCTTTCAAGCGAAGGACGGGCTCCACATCTAGCAGTGATAAAATATTCCCCATACTTCCTTTAGATCAAGTATGCGTGGAACATATCAACAACATCATGTCAACGGATAGATGGCGTCCGTTTCTCAGACGGGAACGAGATTATTTTCGTTTCCCAGCTGAAGATTTTGCGAAGTTTTTCACTCCGCCTACTCTCCCCGACGCAGCAAAAGATAAACTTGCGGCCGATGAGAGTGGTTCGTCTTCCAAGCGACCCTTTGCGGACAAATCACGTTGTAAACTTGAAGACGTTTTGAAGAAGATAGACACAGCTTCACGTTTTGGCTCGCGGTCAACGTCTTTCTTACTTCTTCTTACTGAATATTTAGCCGTGGGCTATGAAGAGGACTCGCCGATTCCAGCGGATATGCTGACTGCGGCCCTTCATTGCCTTGACCATGGTCTACGCTCAGTGCTTGATCAATTCGCACGAGTGTCGGCCCTATCAACGTCCACCCGCCGGGGTAACGTGCTCGATGCACTGTTCCTCCCGTCGCAGGGTGCTCGAAAAAGACTTGAAGATCTCCCCCTGACGGGCACGGATCTATTTGACGGGAAATTCAAAGATCAGATGCGAGATGAGGCCAAACGTCTGAAGGATACGGAGAAAATCAACTTCAAGAAGCCTCCAGCACCGGCGTCCAAACAACAGCGTGGTAAGGGCAAAACATTTGTCATTCCCCGCCGCAAACCTCTGAAATCTGGTCGCGGTGGTTTTCGGGGCCGCACGGACAATTCTTCCGGTGCGCGCGCCACGCAGGCCCGCACGTTCTCTGGACAACAACAGCCCCAATCCGGTCGTGGTTTCCGGGCACCGGCCCCCCGCTATCCCGGGGGCTGGCGCAAGTGACTTAGTAGACTCGTGGCGGCCTCCCGCCATCGGACCCGTGGGAGGCCGTCTCCGAGACTTTGCGGGGTCCTGGGGTTTAATTACGTCCGACCGGTGGGTGCTCGATACGATCGGGTGCGGCTACGCACTCGAGTTCTCGAGCACCCCCCCGTCGGACATGGTCGTTCGACCGACGGTAGTTCCGTCCGATCCTACCAAACGTCTCTCCCTCGAAGGGGAGATCGCCCGCTCCCTCCGGGGGAGACGCGGTCGGGCTTCATGTCGACCTTCTTTCTGGTACCCAAGGAGGAGGCCGGCATGTGGCGCCCGATTTTAAATCTAAAACCCCTCAACAAATTTATTCGGCCAAGACATTTTCGCATGGATACGCTCAACATCATACTCCAATCGATTCGTACACCTGCATGGGGAGCCAGTCTCGATCTGAAAGATGCGTATCTACACATTCCTGTCAGACCAGACCACTGGAAGTTTCTTCGTTTTCAGTACGAGAACGTCCAGTACGAGTTCATGGTTCTTCCGTTTGGTCTAGCCACCTCACCCCGAGTCTTCACGCGTGTGGTGAAGACAATCGGGGCCGCATTAAGAAAACAAGGTGTGATGATCTTCATGTATCTGGACGATTGGATCATTCTTGCTCAATCTCAGACGGCCGCGTCGGCGGCACTCAATCTGACTTGGCATCTAGCGGCGGATCTCGGGTTTATTATCAACGCCGAGAAATCCCATCCACATCCATCCCAATTCCCAATCTTTCTGGGAGCGTCACTCGATCTCCGGAGGGGATTGGTTCGGCCTACGGAGGAACGAATTGTAAATCTCCAACAGTGTGTGTCTCTGTTTCTCCCGACGACCATGGCCCCAGCGCAAGCCTGGCTAAGGTTGCTCGGTCTTATGGCCAGTATGGTAGATGTGGTGAACTTTTGCAGACTAAGGATGCGTCCCATCCAATTACATCTGCTGTCCTTCTATCGGCCCAGTCGTCATCACATACGTCATCTGGTGCCGACCACACCTTGGCTAATACCGCACCTCCGTTGGTGGCTCGACAATGCCAATCTCACGGAGGGGCGCGCTTTTCACAATCCCAGGCCGTCAGTGACCATCACGACAGACGCGTCACTTTTTGGCTGGGGGGCCACCCTCCACCCGCGCCAAGTAGCGGGTCGGTGGGGGCCCAAAGAGTGCTCGAAGCACATAAATGTGCTGGAGATGTTGGCAGTCATCAATGCTCTCCAACGTTTTCAAGCATCAGTGACAAACCAGGTAGTCAACATTCGTTGCGACAATGCCACAGTAGTGGCCTACATCAATCGACAGGGAGGCACGCGATCCGCCCAACTATGCGCGCTCACGTGGAGTCTCTTCCACTGGTGTATGGACCACGGAGTAACACTCGTGGCAACTCATCTCCCACGCTCTCTCCAGGGGGTGGGTCGTTCCGACGGAATGGACACTGCGTCCGCAGGTTGTCCAATCACTTTTTCTGTTGATCGATCGGCCTCATGTCGACCTGTTTGCCTCTCGAAACAACCACCAGTTACCGGTATACTGCGCAAGACACAACGACCCTTGCGCATGGCAGACAGACGCACTGGCAATACGGTGGGACAGACTACTTGCGTACGCCTTTCCCCCGTTCTCCCTCATACCGCGAGTACTGACCAAAGTGGAACAGGAGGAGTGCAAGATCCTCCTCATAGCTCCATTTTGGCCACGCCAGCCTTGGTTCCCGAGACTCATCAAGCTCTTGGTTCACCGCCCGGTGATTCTTCCGAAGAGGGCAGACATACTGTTCCAGCCCAGCTCGGGTTTTCTTCACCCGGCCCCGGAGGATCTCCACCTGACGTGCTGGGTATTATCAAGCAATCCTTCCGCACGGCGGGCCTTTCTGAACGAGCTGCGGCCATTGCAGCCTGCAGCCGGCGGGAGTCTACCAGGAAAATTTATAACAGTAGATTACACCATTTTTACAAATGGTGTAGAGCCAGGTCTCTGCGTCCCTCCGATACTTCTATAGGAGAGATTGCAGACTTCCTAGTAGGCCTCTTTGACAGTGATCTTGCTACAGCCACAGTTAAGAATTATCGTTCGGCTATAGCGGCTATTCATGGAGGTTTCTCTGACGGTTCCTCGGTGTCAGATAATCAGAATCTTAGCCAACTTATCAAGGAGATGTTTGTGTCACGCCCCCCGACACGTAGGCTATTACCATCGTGGGATCTCTTTGCTGTCTTATCAACCTTATCGAGACCCCCGTTTGAACCAATGGGCAGCTCAACCTTGGTGCAGCTGTCGGTTAAAGTGTCATTTCTATTAGCAGTGGCTACGTCTAGAAGACGTAGCGAGCTGCATTCGCTTACGGTGGAGACAGGTCATATCCGGTGGGAACCAGGGGGTGTTCGCCTGGTTCCTAAAACAGGTTTTCTGACCAAAAATCAGTCAGAATCATTTTCACCTCCTGACATTTTTGTGCCGGACATCAAATCCTTTTCGTCTGTCTCTGGTGACAGACTTTGGTGTCCGGTCAGGGCCCTGAAGTGGTACGTTGATAGAACTAAAACGCTCCGAAGCGGCCATTCACAGCTGTTTATAACAACGACTCCACCATACCGACCGGCCTCGCGTGATACAATTTCCCGCTGGTTGGTTACGGCCATCAAATCAGCAATAGACTCACCAACAACAGATTCCGTTGGGTCAGTCCATGCACATGAGGTCAGGGCAGCTTCTACTTCCTGGGCCTTTTTTAAGGGTGTTTCTATTAAAGATATCACACAGGCAGCGTGTTGGAAAACCCCCAACACCTTTACAGAGTGCTATTTGAAGGATGTCCTCCAGACGGAAGGCAGAGCCGGGAGAGTGGTGCTGAAGGCGGCGAGCCGAGCATCATCAGGTCCACAGGATCCTCTCCTACCCGGGGCTTCCCTAGAATAGGTGAGTCTCCTCATCCTGGCTATTTACATTATACATTACATTGTATTGAATATAAATGTATAGCTAAACACTCTTGTAATAAGGTCATTGGTCTTGGACAAGTTACCTTCTTTTTATACAGTTTACCTTGTGCATGGGCTTGGTTTGAAGTGTTTTAGAACTTGCTTTAAGAAGTGTCGTGTACTAACAGTACTCTTCTTTGCAGGATTCAACTGTATTATATATTATATTTATTATTATATAATACTTTACATTATGAGACGTTCCCCCTAACGAGGGCTGACGTCTCGATTAACATGTGAGGGTAATTAATATCCTTTACATGTACAGTTCTTGGTTTTTCCCCTGTCCGCCTTTGGACGGAACAGTGGGAGCCATCTGGGGTTACATTCCATGTTTCATGCCCCTGTGAGTAAGCAATAGCATCTCGCATGGCCCACCTCCTTGACGGTGCTAGTCTATGCATAAGTAGTGTTGCTCTACAGGTAAGTAGAGTGAAGTAGACTCCCCCCCCCACAGAAGTGTGGTTGGGGTCTACGAACGAATACTTACCTGTAGAGCATCCCTCCCTCCTACCCCACTCTTCTCGATGCCTTGGGTACTTTGTTGTATTCCGACTTAACGCTCGAGAAAAGAGGACGCTCACGAGGCACGCATGCCGCGGGGTGTTATGGGTAGGGCGCCGGAGGGCGCTATTGTATATAACTCTTAGCGAAAATACCTGCCGGTAGGGGGAATATGCATAAGTAGTGTTGCTCTACAGGTAAGTATTCGTTCGTAGACCCCAACCACACTTCTGTGGGGGGGGGGGGGATTTTGCCACCTTCAATGCAAAGAGAGCTGCAGTGTTCAAAATTGAAATCACTATTATTGCACATTTTTTTTAGTTACCAGGTTTTAATGATGATTATTATTATCATTATTATTACAAGGTTGTTTTAGATCTGGGAACAACAGATTCTGGAGGTTCTGAGACAGATCTTGGTAAGAAAAGCATTATTTATTGATCATTCACTCTGTATTGCAGTTTATAGTCCGGTCAATTTAAGTTCAGACCTAAAACAAATTCCAAAGGAAACATTCAAGCGTCAAACAAATTGAAATAAATACACAAACAGCATGTGCAAAATGTAATTGTTTCTCTGGAGAGGAATGGTGTTTTTCAAGCATTTTTTTGAGATTAAAATTTGGGACGTTTTGTCCTCCAACAATTTGTCTGGTGACTTGCTTCGATTTGCATGCCTATATAACAGTGGCATATCCAGAGGGGGGTGCAGGGGGGCACCTTGCCGGCGGAATTTTTTGTACAAATATTTGTTTTCAGAAATTATTTTCAAAAATGGTTAGAGAGTTTGGACAAAAAAAGAAAACCTGTTAACAAAACATTACAATGCCCCATGAAAATGGGCATGTAATTTGCAGTCTGAATAATAATTGTCAGTTTTGAAGAGCGCCCCCATTTGGAAGATGGGTACCATTCAATGGGTGCCTTTAAAAAATTTCGGTGTTTTTAAATTTCAAAAAAAATTTAGAAAATGTGGGTGGGTTATTGAAATATATTGAAATTTTTGTTAACGAAATTCACTTTTTCAATTACAAAGATAGAAAATAGCCCTTTTGACTTGCCAATTCACCTCTCCGTGTTCGATTCGTAAACCCTTTGCCTGTACCGTACCGTACGGGTACAGTATGCATCCGGTACATGTACAATGTATCGTGTATTGTGTATATATCCATCGAAGCACCATAAGCATGGGGACCAGTAAAGTTAGACTTAAACATGCGTAAAATCAGTGCGCCGTGCAAATGGAGCGGGATACCAGGTTCATTTTGTCTTAATACACGCCATGAGTGTCCGTTACGAATCGCGACAACAAAATAAACCTAATTGTGTTCAAGACTACTTAGGCAACCTGCATGCAAGCGCATGGTCGTCGTCATCTGGCTTTCCTCGAAACGAGGAGTTGTTCGCTAAGATCTCTCTTCAGGTTCCTTCTTTGGTCCGCATATGGCTGTAGAGCCCCAGATGTGAGCGGATTAGGCGGCCGCCTCTAGGACAGTTCAGCTTAGGTGGTGATCTGGGGATGCTGGCCATGGGCGTCGCCAGGATTTTTTCTAGAGGGGGGCAAAAAAAATTTTTGCCCAAAAATGCGTGTATTTCTCAACACATTCTCGATTTATCAGTTTAAGAGGGGGCAGGGACATTTTGCCCCCCCCCCCCCCCAACTCATTAAATTTACACCACTTTGTCGTCGCGCCTCTTTTTCTTTTCTTTTTTTTTCTTTTTTTTTCTTCCTTTTTTTTTTTTTTTTTTTTTTTGCTTTTCCAGGGGGGGGCAAGTGCCCCCCCTTGCCCCCCCCTCGCGACGCCCATGATGCTGGCCCTTTCCTTCAGCTTTCGGAGTTTGTCTTCAAGTGAGGCAATCCTGGACTGTTCGAAGTGCTTAACACCAGCATGGATGTTGCTACGCCAGGAGGAGCGGTTGGCGGCTAGGGTTTCTCAGTTGTTAAGACCACACCGTTTGAGGGTGTTCTTGAATAGATCTTTGAGGCGTTTCCGAGGCCCACCGCGTGGTGGCTTCCCTGACGTCAGCTCGCCATAGAACACTTGCTTTGGGAGGTTGTTATTTTCCATCCTCTGAACATGACCAAGCCGTCTAAGCTGATTGCGAGCTACGATGGCCTCAATGCTTGGGATGTTGCTAAGAGCATGGACTTCAGAATTTGTGACCTTGTCCTGCCAGCTAATACCAAGAATAGCCCTGAGTTTCCGTTGGTGGAATTGTTCAAGTGCACGTATGTGACGTTGGTAGAGAATCCAACTCTCGCTACCGTACAGGAGGGTCGATACAACAACTGCTTGGTAGACCTGGAGCTTGGTAGAGGGTTTCAGACCATGTTGCCCAAATACTCGATGGTACATACGGCCATATGCACCATGAGTGGCTTGTATTCTGTTACTAACATCATCATCAGCGTTGCCCTTTGAGTTCAGGATACTGCCAAGATAACAGAAACGGGTAACCTGTTCCAGCGGTTGGCCTTGGATGGAGATTTCAAATGGCTCGAGGTCATGTGTAGGGCTAGACAAGACAAAAGTTGTTGTTTTTTACAGCGAGCTGATACTTATTTTTACCGTTTAGAATGGACTCAAGAGTTTTACGTGTTTCCAGGTGGATTCCCTATACGTACGGGAATGCCAGTGGGTCGTCTTGTTGCAAAGGTACTGTATATGGACTGCAGCTGCATTCCGCTGTCACTGAACTGGACATTCGTTATGTATTTTATTGAATGGAAAATCAATATTTTAAGATCGAAAATTTAAAAACATCGAATATTTTGAATGGCCCCTTTTGCCAATGACCTGAATTCATCACAAAATTGGACTCTGGCCTATTGGCGTAGACACTTAGATTTTAACTTTAAATGGATCTCTTTGTGTTTATCATTGCCTGGCCTAGTTTCAAGTAGACTTGTTTATGCAAAGATTTTCCATGAAACAAATGATTTATTGAGCAGAAAGTGATTTATTTTTACTTCTTAATAATTTGGGCATACAAAAATCTCAAATTTCTTGATTTTTTCCAAGAAAATATCCTATAGTATTTGGCGACAGCGTAAATTACCATAAATTGTAATAATTGGTGTCTATAGAAAAGTCGTCGGCTGTGATCAGTCGTGTCTGAAAAATTGATGATGAAAAATTAGTAGCGAAAAAGTGAGTAAAAGCACTTTTCCACTCCTTTGATGAAATTAGATTTTCAGTATGTTAAAAAGTGATATTTCCTTAGCATGATAGCATTAACATAAATTATATTGCTATTTGTTCTAGGTCAGTCCCTGTTTTATTCTAAATTGATCGGATTCTTATATTTGTCAGTTTTTACTTTCCCAGATTTAGTATTTGCAGACCTGCCAACTGGTATGATTCTGCCATATTTCGTATGGGAATTTGTTGAAAATACGACCGTACGATTTCCCCCCATAAAATACGGGTTTTACTCGGGTGTTATGACCAGTAATGTAATGATGGATCAATAATGTAATAGCGACCAGTAATGTAATAAAAATTGATCAGTAATGTAATATCAACTAGTAATGTAATAACTTTTGCCAGTAATGTACTAATTGAAGTGACCAGTAATGTAATAAACATTGACCAGTAATGTAATAACAAAAAAATGACCAGTAATGTAATAGAAAATTGACCAGTAATGTAATAACCATAGAATTCTTACTATTTTGGAAATTTTTGGAGGAACTTTGTATTTTGTGCGAGTAATTTGACTATTAATGTACGAGCAGTTGAAAATGACCGCGTGGGTTGATTACTTATTTGGATTTTGAAAAGTTGGCAGCTATGTAGTAATGTAAAGCGCTTTGATCTTTGTTAAAAACGCTATATAAGAACCTGTTGTTATAATTATTATTATTATTATTATTATTTATTCAACGGTTGTATCTTTATGGTGTGTGCACATCTTTCCGTAGTCCATACAATGAAATAACAGTTGTGATGGTCGTTTTAATAGCAATGATGGCCATTATAAAAATAAATATGGCTGCCAAAACAAGTGGCTTTTTATTATCACTGTTCTTATTGGAGTCCTTGACACAGAAACCATGGATGTACAGTCGCCTACAAATATCAGAGCCCAGGGTATGGGCAGAAAAAAAGTGCTTGGCTGACATTTTTAAATTTTGGCGGCCATTTTGAAATTTTGGCGGCCATTTCGAAATTTAAGATGGCAATCCACTTCCAAACGATCCAAAGGTGTTACCACTATTCTTATTTGATTCCTTGGCCCTGAAAACATGGGTACAGACATCAGAATCATGCCTCTACGGCTCTCAGAGACCAAGATATAGGTAAAAGTAGATTTGCGTGGCGGCCATTTTGAAAAATGGCAGCCAGGCAAAAACATCCCAACAGTTTCCTTGGTAACATGTAGAATCTCATTCAGACGGGTCATCCAAACAAAATGATACCACTCGCGGAGGATCGGGGGGGGGGGGGGGGGTGCACGGGGGCCCTCCCAGCCCATGCATGGACTCAAGGACAGTATGGTTTCCGGATTATAACTTCACTCTGGCTGAGGGGTTTCAACAGCAACGCTGTTATTTTTTTCAACATTCTGGTTTCCATCATATAAGTAGGCATTTGTGCTCTACATCAGATGAGAAAAGGTTCTCATAACGCCAAGCCAATTCTGGCTTCTGCAGCTCTTGGCGGAGTAGGCAAATGTTATGAAATCCATGGCCAAGCATCGCAAGTCCTTTCATGCCGACCGCGGTCAACTCATTTGCGACATTTACACTGACATTAACACAGCATTGTCGTTTTCCTTGTAAAGTGATTTCAGTACTGCAGTGTCACAGCATAATGAAGGGAGTTCGATCCCAAACTAAATCAGGATAAGTGTGTTGGAGGCTGCCCCAGATGGAATCACAGGGAATCACCGGTTCAGTTCAATTTCAGCGATTAATAGAGAATTTATTCAATCATCAGTAGAATTAAGTTAATCAGGCATACATCAGCAAAGAGTAGATATCAGCAGAATAACAATGAGTGAATCAGTTGCAGTTAATTGACAGATGTTGATCCCAAAACTCCCCCAGTATATGTGCTGGTATGATGTGTGGATCCCGTAAAAGATGGTACACGAAATAAAGATGAAAAGATCCTCAGGAAAAAGATCAGGCTGGACACACCACCAAGCGTCTCTAAAATATTATTGCACCCTCAACAAAATGCTGTTACGGATTAATTACACCCGTAAATTATACGATATGCTCAAAGGAACTTCCACTTACGCATAATTGTAGTTCTTATACAATCATAAGAAGAAAATGTAGAAGAAAAACTTCTAAAACTATGGACCTACTTGTTTCTAGAGCGAAGGGACATTAAGTTAACAAGTGCCACATTTGCATAGGTCACACGTAAACAACAACATAGGTCAATCTAAATATAACCCTGTATCCGGGGAGCCGGACAGTGGATGGAGGTTACGTGCCCCCACACTTGTTTACATGTTTCTGTATGCCATTAACTATTGTCGTGAGGCAGCAGCCCGCTTTAAAGACCGCAGTCTGAATGATTTTCATTCTCTCATCGAACTTTTTGGTCTGATGTTTCAGTAACTTGTGCACAAGTTCGTCAGTCTCAACTTGGCTGCAAAAGTTCCGCGCAATTCTCAGGGCGCTTTATCTCCCCTGATTTCTTGTGAAACCCTTCATAATCCATGCCTTTCTGAAACATTTTGTTTACCCCATTGGCTAGGGAAGCAGACACAGCTTCACATGTATCATCTTTTGGAGTCATAAACTCCGCGAGATATTCATTGAACTTGCTAACAATTGGATCCACATCGGTGGCAGTGCTGTCCTTATCTTTACCGCTGTCGTCCATGTTGTTTACGTTAGCGATGCTCGCTCACTTTGACCCTTCATCGTCATCGTGCGGCTTCGGTGCCTCCACTGCATATTCCTCCGCAGAGTACTGATTACCGCCATAGTAATCGTCCCATTCGGTATCATGGGCCGGACAAAAATAGTCCGTGTAAGGGAAGGCAGCCGGTTGAGAAATTTCACGTTCGTTCTCCATTTCGAACTTGTTTCATGTCCTTCACCTCTTTTGTCAAATCTGTCATAGTTTTGGCCAGCTGGCTCAAAGTTGCCGATATTTCAGTGTTGCTGGGACTCATTTTTTATGTCCAACTTGATGTGTAGTTAGATGTGGATTCTTTTTGGCCACATTTCCTGTGCTCGACCTGGGAACGACATTGTCTTTTCCTGTTTTTGTCTGGTTCTTTTTTTATGCACCATTGGCTGCACTCTTATCTATATCACCCTTCATCATTGGTGAGTAGGGATTTTCTCAGTTTTACGGCCAAAAAACGTTATATTTCTGGCACTTCTGTGCCCAATATTGCTTGTGGTCTCAGGCAGTTTTTAAATTATAAAAAAGTGTGTATCTTTGGAAAAAATGTGAGTTTCAGGATTTGGGGTGGGGTGTCCGCAAAGCAATATATGCCCTGGAAACACGAATACGGATAAACTTGGGACCAACTATGTATTTTCTTGTTTACCCATCCTATCAGGATTGTAAAAAGTGCAAACAGTTCACAACGGGACCATTTTTGAGAGAGCAGTGGCCCAAAATATGAGTTTAGCTGTTTCTCAAAAAATTAGCTCCCAAAATATCAGGTTTTTTGAGCTGGAAGGCAAAAATACCAGCTGTGCAACTTAAGAGCATCATTTTCGGATGTCCCAAGGTACCCTACAACAGAAAATAATATTAAGATTAATCATAAAATGTTGCAATTAAATGGCCCTATCCCAGGGACTATTACCTTCCAAAACGAATGGAGATTATCGCCTCCAAACGCTCCATTCGTGCAAAAAAATGAAGCACTAGGACAATAGGGGGACGTTACAGGTGGAGTTTAACCATGAATATTTTCCAATGGCACACCAATTGCTCATGTGAAACCTAACTGTTGAATTGTCTCTTTCAGGGCTTGTTCCAAGTGGAAAACTGAAGCTGTTAAAAAGTTCTTCTGTTGTTTTGGAAAATCAAATCAGGTGTGTAATAATGTTTTTGTGAATGAGCAGTTATTTCAAACCAGCTGTACATTTGCACAATAGGGACCATCAGAAAAGATGTTGTTTAGAATATGTATGTGTGGTTAGTTTATCAGGCACACTCTTTGCAATCACATCATCATGCTGACATCCACAGCAAGTTTTTCCCAAGCCACAACTTGAAATCAAACCACAGTTAAGAAGCCATTTTTTAAGTGTCGAGGGAATTCCCCAACACTGTTTTTTAGATTTTAAATTATCGGTATGTTGTAAGTTTCAGCATTATATATGTGTTCTGTGAACTTTAAACTTGGTAATGACATGAAGCTGGTTTCGACATGTACATATTTGTATGACACTAGAAGGATGCTGTGCACCCGCTAACTGGGTGGAGTCGTCTTACGTTGACCTCAATTTGCATGTTGACCCCAAGTGGGTGTGGTAAACCTTGGTGAAGCAATTTTGCCACATTTTTCATCATGAACATTAATTTTTGCATAATAGCAATATGTTTTGGGGTCTTATCATAGAGATAATGTTGTAATATTTAACTATTCAAAGTCTCCAAGAAACAAATTTGCCCAAAAAGCAAAACAAAGCAACTAAATCTTTTTTTTTCACAAGCCAATTGTTACTTCAGAGGACAGTGAAATCGGAGTGTATATATATATATTTTCCATCAGAGGAACCATTGATAGTATATAACCAAGCCTCTCAATTAACAATTGCATTTTGTGTTTCTACACACTTATTAGGCCTTTAAAAAAAGACACAGACATCAGGCAGGCAGACAAACATCAGACAGACAGACAACATAGGATATTTTAATATATGATGATAAGGTTATGAGAAACTAGGACAGTTTCAGCTTTACATCATAATGAACGTGAGATCCTTTTAAATGTCGATGTTTTGTACTACTTGGACAAAATGTCATTGTCCCACACATAATGGCATTACGGTGCATACTGAAATTATGAATATTATGCATGATTTAATCAAATTAGGTTAAAAACACATCTATCTTTGATGTGCCAATTGGAGGTGCCCTTCAAAGTGAAGATGTCAACATTTACTGACTGTGAAGCAGAAATTTGTTGTCCTGATTAAGGGGCCGTGTTTATCATTGGTTTTAAATACTTTAAAACCACTGAGGTGACTTGGAATGGGTAAACTATCACAGGTATTTATAAATCATATTTTGTTCTTATATGCAGGGACATGCCACCAGCTCAACGAGCCAAGAACATGAAGTTTTCTTTGAAAGATCCAACCCAATTCTTTATCGCAACAGATTCAGTAAGAACTCTTTAAACTTTGAATCATTTTAAATGATATTGTTTTACATGTACTGATATCATCTAAGAGGAAATAGACCAGAATGTTCAGAATTGCTTTCTAAGGTTCTCCAAAATAGTCCAAATGACAGGAGATACCCCATCGGGAACTCAGGTGATCCAAATGTTTTATATGTTTTCTTTACTCAACTTACCTGTAGAGCCACTACATTTACATATTCCTCTTTACCTGCTGGTTCCTTTTCTTGAGTTTTCACAATAGCACTCCTATATGACAACCCATACTGCCTTGCTGCATGTCTGACATCTTGGCTTCTTTCCTCTTTTCTCATAGTGACTGTGCAGATAATAAAACTTTGTACGGATAAGTTTTTTGTCCAAATAAAAAATAAACTTGTTATATTCTTTGGTTCGAGTCATGGAGTTAAAAAAAATGTTGCGTTAGAAGGGTGTTTCGATAACAACATCTGTCTCTTCATTGTTGAGTCTGGCAGAGAGTATGGCTGTCCTTCCCAGCAGAATTTTTCCCAATGCCCAGTGTCTGATTTTAATGGCCACTGGAGACCCTGCAAGCTGGGAACAGGACTTTTTGCCAGCTCCCTGCCCGAGCCAATGCTGTCAAATAATTCCATTGGATTTGAAGAAATCTGAGACAACCAAAATATATCCAAGGTCAAAGTTCCAAGATTATCAATACACTCAAGTGATGATTGTCAATTAATTCAACTAGACTTGAGAATTGGAGACACCAAAGGCTATAATTGCACAAATCCTGAAACTGAACCACTAAAAACACTCCTGCTGTTTCACAGACAAATTGATCCAGCTTGCTCAAAAACAAATTGATCCCGCTTGCTCAAAGTGCTGTGACAGAATGACACACACAATGCATGTGCTTGCATTGTTCCACTGTTGCATATCATTAGTGCTTCAATCTTTTGTCTGATTGATCAAAACTCTTCGCTGTGATTGGTTAATTTTTTTTGCTGTGATTGAATGATTAGTGCTAGGCACAGGCGTAGCCAGGAATTTGGAGCAGGGGGGGCCAAGTCCGACCGGCCTGTACAAACCCCCGCCCCACCAGGGGCGGAACTAGGATTGTCCAAAAAGGGTGTGTGTGAAATGTAACCATGGAGGAAGGTTAATTCCTTCCTCCATGATGTAACCAGCAGCAAGTGATGAAGGCAAGTTGTGTTGCCTACACCGAAGGCCAAAGAAGGGGGTGACGAAAAGTAATGCGTGGCGTGGGGTCAGGGGCCCGCTTAAGGGCCCCGGAAAATTTTGGATTCTAGATGTTCTACATGGTGCGATCTCAGGCAATATCTAACCACTTTAACCAATTTATTTCGTAAAAGATCATCATTTAAACATCGAGTTTGGAGTCATTGAATCAGCTATCCTGAAAACTCTAAAATCAAACTGTACTTTACAAGATGTATTCGGGGATGAAAAAAGTGGGTGGGACAAACGATACGATACCCCAACTTTTAGCAGGGGCGTGAATCGCTTCTCAAAAGTGGGGGGACATACCTGGATCAGAACTAATGCGAGCGCGAAGCGCGAAGCCCTTACTGCGTGGGGTTCGGGGCCCCGAAAAAATTGGATTCTAGATGCTCTGTGGTGTGATCTGAAGCCATTTCTGACCACTTTAACCAATATTTTCTTAGCAAAAGAAAATAATTTGAACATCGTTTTCGCGGTTGGAGTCATTGAATCAGCTATTCTGAGCTAGGCTTTGGGTCGCGGCCCCCCAAAAAGTTTGATTCTGTAGATGCTCTGTGCTGCGATCTGCGGCAATTTACTTTAACCAGTATTTTCTTAGCGAAAGATTATAATATTATTTAAACATTATTTTCGAGGTTGAAGTCATTGAATAAGCTAGGCCTATTATATTCTCAGCTAAAGGCGTTGGGTTCGGGGCCCGCTGAAGGGCCCCGAAAAAAAAGAAAGATTCTAGATGCTCTGTGGTGCGATCTGAGGCAATTTCTGCCTACTTTAACCAATATTTTCTTTGCAAAAGATAATAATTTAAACATCATTTTCGAGGTTGAAGTCATTGAGTAAGCTATTTTCAGCTAAAGGTGTGGGGTTCGGGGGCCCGCTTATTAAGGGCCCCCAAAAAATTTGGATTCTAAATGCTCTGTGGTGCCATCTTATGCATTTTCTGACCACTTTACCCATTATTTTCTTAGCAAAAGATACACTGCATATAATAATAGGGCCCTGTAAATGAGACACTAGTTCAAAAATCTGGGGGGGGGGGACATTTGATATTGTGTCCCCCACCCTTCAAAAAGTTGGGGGGGGGGATGTCCCCCTGTCCCCCTCCCAGGATTGACGCCAATGACTTTAAGACATGTGCAATGTTCAAGGACATGTCTCCCCCCCCCCCCCCTCGATTGACACCCATTCCAAAGGCTTGTCCGCCGTGCGTCCTGCATGCTATAGAGAGGGCTGGGTGCATTTTCCTGTGTAATGTACAACATATTAGCATAGGTTTCGTCGCCACGCGATGTCTTGTCGCAGTTCTTGATCCTGTCGCTTTTTTATTTTCGTAAGGCTAAAAGTATGACAGACCCCCTATTGTCTTGTGTGCAACTAATCCTAGTAGGCTACGGTCTGACGTGAACTGCCGTATTAATAATTGTGTCTCTACCTTCCCTTTCTTCTCTGTTTGGGTCTCTCTCCCTCTCTACATCTTGCTTTTATTTTTTGAAGGGAAAAAAAGGTGCCCCACGCCCCACACCCCCCAGATCACCAGCGAACATCTTGTTGCCTGCTTTGGAAATGTCTAGTGGACTTTGTTAATTGGGGAAATACATTTTTCTTTTGCCTTCGGCAAAGTAAAAAAACAAAAACATGTTTCTCGTACCCACCCGCTTCCTTTTTGGTGGCCGCCTGGATTTTTTTATTATTTTTTACTTTTGAAAAAATTCAGTAAACAAACACCAAACACTAGTCCACCAACTCATAGGAAAATAAATACCAATACCAAATACAACTCTAAATGACACTGTAAATATGTTCAGTTCTCTTGTCCGACTTGTCTTTCTTTTTAAAAGTGTCTTTGAACTTTGGAAACACCAATGGTTGCAGGAAATTTTAAAATGGCGGCCATCTTGAAAAAAATAAAAAATAAAAAGCCCCTTTTCCTCCTTTTTTTCAAAAACCTGGACGAGAAACATGTTTTTCTTCTTATTCGACCTTATATGTTTTTGATATTCCTTTGTTTTGCCTGAGTTTACATCGTATACAGTATTAAGAATTTTTCATAAATTGTATTCAACTTGGTCAAGAACCTGTTTAATACGGCATGGGGTCCGGGGCCCCGCTTAAGGGCCCCTGGAAATTTTTGATCCTACATGCTCTGTGGTGCAATCTGAGGCCATTTCTGGCCCCATTACATGATTTTCGGACAATCCTTGAAATACACATACTCGTATTTCGTACTCGTACTCGTAATTAACGTCGGGTTTTGGTAAAATGTCATTTTTTTTTTTACAGCAGGGGGGGCCATGGCCCCCCTTGGCCCCCCCCCCCCCCCCCCCCCCCCCTTGGCTACGCCTATGGTGCTAGGATCCTTCTCAGGATCCCAACTTTTGAAATACCCAAAGTTTGTAAGTGTTTTAATTCCACAGAGGGGGGCAGATTGAGTGTATATATGAGCAAATATGCCAACAATTATGAAAGCTGTCGGAGACAGCATAATAAACTACATGTACAGGACAGTGTAACTGAGAAGCAGCAGACCCGTGTTTGCCAAGTATAAAGGATTTTGTCAAAATACATGCATTGTGACAAAATCTGGCTTATTGGCTTATTATCTATACTTATGTTTTTTAATATAAAACGATTTTAAAACTAAACAATTTCTAACTTGATGACTATATACCCACACCCATGTTGTTGACAATATGTCCTTTTTCACTGCTGATATAAAAAGTCAGTTTGTTGAGTACCGTAATTTTCGGAATATAAGCCACGGCTTATACGTTGAATTTGCCCGTGAAAATGTTTACTGCTGCTTATACACAGGGCGGCTTATACACCGAGCCTTGAAGAATAAAAATGAGATTCAAATGTGTATTTATGTACTGGTATAAGAAAAGATCTGTTGTTGAAAATGAATTATCAATCGTTACCGGACTTGAGGTACCGGAGAGTCATTAACAATAAGTAGAAGTACGTCCCAAAAATGTACCAAAAGTGTGGCCTGCTGGCCAGCCATGCGTGAGTACGAGTAAAAGCCGTCTCCGTTGCATGCTGTACATTGATGTGTGGCCCACACCATTTGTGGTAATAAAGGGGTGTACTTTTTCGGTAACAATAATTACCGATATTTTTCCGCTGTTTAAAAAAACAAGACAACATATACCTTTATGGAGTTTTTATGGATTCTTTATTGGACAATCAGTTGTTCAACGTCAAAACATAATTTTTTTCTGAAAATGTATTCAAGAAACGATGTAAATCGCAAAACAGGGGCTAAATCACCCCTCCCTAAATTAATGGATTCGTCCATAAGGAAGCCTGCATCGTGTTGATGGTTTTTGAAGAAAGTACGGTCGAAAACTGGATTTTTTTATGTTACTACAGTCGTTAGTAATCACAACAATTTGATAAGTTTTGTTGTAAAAAAGGACCTATTTATTCTTAGGACAAAACAAATCAGCATCTGTTGCCACAAAACAAGATTTGTAGTGCTCCAGTCAGACAACACACTGTGGGTTGCATACTCCGAGTGATGCGGGAAAATGTTGTCATTCGCTGACTCACGTGCTGCCGGGCCATGCCCTAACTTTTAGGCAGGGGACCAGCCAGGCAAGCCAGCAGCAATTCCCGGTGTTTATTTCTCATCGTCAATTTCCATATGTTTTTTAACGAGCATCGACCGTAATGTTTTGATATAACTTGTGTGGCCCTCTTTATAGCTTTCGTAGCGTATATGGAACTGGTCCAGAGCATTGAAACCGCTGCGGTCTGTGCGGCTTATACGCCGGT